CAAGTATTTGGAACAAGGATAAACTGACAATTGATATAGCAAATATACAGTTAATTTTTTTAAAATTCTGTGTTTGCAGTGGCTTTTTAAGATGATTTTCTGAGTGCATGTTGTTTTGCTACACGTATGGCGAAATAATTTCAGACTATTCAGTTCATGTCCATATTATTTTGGAAGTTTAAACTACTCAAGCCACTGCCTGCTGCAGTCTCACTGCCCTCGCAAAAGAAACACTTGGAAATCTCTGAATCTCTCTTAACCTTTTTAAGGACAGTTATTGGATCTATTTTCGGATATAAAGGTCGTTTTGAGCTAGACTCATAACTCATTTTTGCTGCATAAAAAAATATATCCGAAGGAAAACTTCTATTGGCGACTTGATTAGAAGATTGCTTAATGTTGTTGGAAAGAACACATAAACTACTTGAAGCGACAACTGTAAATGTTATCAAAGTGAAAGCGGAAAGATTCATAAGCAAGTAGTACCATAAAAAACTATGAATATTGAAGTGATTTTTAATGAACTACATTATTAAAATAAGTAGAAAAAACATATATACAAACTTTACTGTGTATTCTTTGATGTCTTTGCTTTTCTGGGGGTTTTTTATATACAAATTCGCTTTTTACATTGTATTTCGTGTTGAAAACAGTGAAAAAAAAGACCAAAGTTCTTTCGAGTTTGTCGTTGTCAAGGCAACAAGGGAACACTCTCAAGTTAAAGGCAAGCGCTGATTGGTTATTTCGGGAGCTGGGGAAAGCCCAATGATCATTTCCCGCCATTTTTCCTGTGTAGTTTACGCGCTTTCGAGAGGTGCAGAAATCGTAAAAATTTGAGCTTCAAAGGCGAAATCTTTCGTGCCAACAGGCCTAATAAGTTAGGTAAGTGTCTAAACAATATGTCTATATGTTTTGTTTGCTTGTAACACAAAATGCCATCAAAGCTTTTTTGAAGCGAATTTTGTCAAGTTGGCCGGCCGTCTAATAGGGCTATCAGTTCCGTATGCACGAATTTTTGCGTTTGTTTTGGCTAGTTTAATGTGATTGTTCTCGCTTTTAATGCGCTCGAATATTTCAGTGTGAATAATGTTGACAGATGCGCCGGAATCGATTAGTACTTTCACTGGAGTGTGTCCAATTTTGATCTGAGTCTCAGGTGACTTATTTGGCGTTGACTTTAAGGTAAAACAATTATCATCGTCCGAGTCTTGTAAGTGTCTGTCATCGGGTGTCTTGAGTGGGGTAATATGTTTTACCGATTTACTGCTCGATTTGCATAATTTTGCGAAATGTCCGAGTTTTCCGCAATTATGGCAGGATTTTCCTCGAGCAGGGCAATTCTGCATTCCGTCTTTGTGTGGAAATGCTCCACCGCAGTTTCGGCAGGTTTTCTTTCCGTCCGGTGGTGGTTTTCGTCTGCGATTGAATGCACCCCGTGGTTGCGATGCTGGTGGCTGGCGGTTTCTTTCCAATGCGTTTAGGTCTGTGTTTGCGTTTTCTAGTCGTTGCGCTTGTTGATCCGTAATTTCTAGCGAAGTTCCGTGTGCTAATAAGGCTTTTAAGTCCATGCTTTCACGAAGGGCTTTCTTTCGCAATCTTGGGTCTCGTGTCTTGTGGATGATTTGTATTTTAATCTCTTCGTCTTCGTTCGCGAATTCACAGTCTGTTGCCTTGGTTTTGAGTCTTCGATAATACGCAGTTAGAGTCTCGTTAGTTTCTTGTGTCAACTCGCGAAATTCGAATATAGCTACATCTTTGTTTCCACGCGGAGTGAAATACTGCGTTAAACTGTCGACGGCTGATTCATACGTTGTACCGGTGTCTGGCAGAATGTCGAAGATATCGTTTGTTGCTTCGCCAACGTATGTCAAGAGAAGACCTCGCCGGATGGTCGAGTCGAACTCTCGAAGGCTGATGAGTAGGTTTTCAAAACGCCGTATCCATTTCTTCCATCGTTGAGACACTGTTGCTGAATTTGTGATTGGGTCAAATGGGGGAAAAGGGGGTAGACCACTTCTAGGAGCGTTAAAACTTTGTGTTGTAGGGTTTGGTTGTTTTGATGCTGGTTGGTCTTTCCCTGAAGATGTAGCACTTTCATCATCACTCATGTTTGTTAGTTATCCTCGTCGCCACTTTTGTATCTTGCTTGTTTGGGTTATAGAGACCTCTAGCATATATGCTACTCGCACTAGTTGTGGCAAAGACTAATTTATTGATAGAATTAAGTAAATATATATACAAGCATTGACAGGCAATTAGGATATATGATATGGGTGTGTGTGTGAAAGGTTAAGCCTGGAATGAATTAAGTACAGGATACAACAAATCTTCACATACAAATCCCGGGACATGGTACTACGACAAGCCGGTAGACGTACGAAAAAGGATAAGACGTCAAAAATATCATCAGACCAAGTACGGTGGGACATACATCGAGTGCGAATACTTGACCGACAGGTCTCCGTCCGATGTCGAAAATGATTACAAAATCCTTATTCCCAAAAAGTCTCGAGGATTAACCAAAGTCGGACAAAAACTATTCCAACAGCCCTTCGAGGCTTTCGTATATCCCGTTTTAGGACCACAGGCCAAAATCCGATGGAGCATTACGGGACAGGGTGCAAAACGTTTACAGACGAAAGAAGTCTTTCGAAAGGTGGTGAAGGATACGATCGTTCAGGATGTCACGGTTACAATTTCCAACATACGGACTGCTATTGCAAATACTCACGTGATTCTAAATTTTGCTATCATGCCCGGTCTAATCCTAATCCACCGCCGAGGAAGTGGCCGTGAATAAAATTAAAATCGTAAAACTTCATAGTCTAGGAGGTCAGTACGCTTGGTACAGACTTCCAAATACTATTGCTTATCCACCGAGCAGCTACAAGACGGATGGTATTAATTTCGAAATCCGACCTCGACAACGCAAAATTCATATGATTTGCCATGACCGACGGATCTAACACGGCTCCGAAACGTCGGCCGGAAACGTCGTACTTCGCATGAAAAACGGAGCCGCAGGCCTGATCCGTGCAACTTTCATGTATTTTGTTAATGAAGATTATTTTGGATCGGGTTGGGCCTCGGTTCAGGTCATGAGTTTAAAGTTTAGCGATATGGACGCATCCGGAACCGTGACCGACAGGACGGGAAATACGGAATTATTATGTTATTTTGCAATTCTACAGTAAAACATTTTAAATCTTATGAAAAAAGATTTAAAATATTTCTGTTAGCCCGAAGGCACTGCCGATTCCAACTAAACCCATCGTCAAAAAAACAAGGCATTTTTTAATACCATGGACTAGTGGGGCATTTGCTCCACTGGGCGAAAGCCCTACCTCTGCCCCACCACACAAGAAAAGAAATGGCCATTGCCCCAAAGCCAGGGCCCTAGGACCTGTATTGAGTACATTAGTTTAACATTGAAAAGAAGTTTAAAAAACAAAATTTGTTGGTGAGCATACTTAAACTTATGTTGTGTTGAATGTTTAGCATGCAATTTATTACAAATTTCACCATCAAAACTTTGTTTTGCGATGCTGATATTTTGTAAAAAATGTGTTCTGAAAATGCAGAAAATGCTATTTCAGAGATACAAATTAAAAAAAATTTGGGGGGGGGGCATGCCTCCAGATCCTCCCGAGCTAACTCGTGCCTGCGGCAATCGGCGATCTTCGGCAATCGCATATTATCCTGGGTGCAGGGCAAGGAAAATGGGCCCTTTGGCTGTTTTGCCGTGGCACTGAAGAATCCTTAAAAAATGCACTGATCGTCATCATCGCATACGTCTTCATTTCGTCCGACGGTTGATAGTAATCTTAGAATTTCGGTTTTCGTCGTGGTGTCGAATAGTCCATAAGTTTCGTAAAGTCCCTTAAATCTTCCAGTGCCTTGTTTGTTTCCTCGATATCCTTATTTGCATTCAGAATTTCGGCTTGACGTCGGGCTTCGTCGCTTCTACGTTTTACTTCTCATTCGTAAAACTTTTCTTTTGCTTTTGCGATTTTCACCAACGCTTGGTTATGTCTTTTGACTTCTTCTTTGTATCCTTGTCCATTCAGTTTCGAAAATAGAAATCCTGCTCCGGCAAAGGCAACGGCATCAAAAAGTCCTCCTACAACAACGGATCTCATTTCTTTATTCTTGGCAACAACACGTCTGGCAACCTCGTTCCCAGGGCTTCAGTGTGAGGACGAGGCGAGGCACGGGGAAGCCCTGGACTGGCCCGGTCAATTTTGCATTCTGATTGGCTAACACCATATTGTTAAAAATAACTGAACTTGATAGTTGACAATAACAATTCAACATTTGTATTTTTATGATTCTTGTGTGTACGAGTATGTTTTACAAAATAATCTTTCAAAGTAAGACGTTTTCTTTCAGATCAGTGCGTTTTCCCGACTGCATGATTTACTTTCGCCTCGGCCGGTTACAAAACTCAAAAGCCGTGTCGAAGTGAGCTGTGATGTTTCCTGACAAAACAAGAAACGTCTACTATTATTTTTAAGCTGTAGTTTTCCTTGTACAGTATTTATTAGTGCAGATGTCGGATGAAATACTACGCGTATTGCATTGTAGTAATATTTTAATTTACAATATTCTGTACTGACAAATAAAAGCAATACAAACAATTAAATGAAGCTACTAAATTTATTTAGGCCCTGTTTATTTAATAGCTGTACGCCTAGACCGATGTAGTCTCTACAAGATTCGCACGCCACCCAGTTTTTCAGTTTCAGAATACCCCGAATACTTGAAAATTGCGACTATACGATAAAATAAAACAAAGATTGTGAAGGGGATAAAATTTGTAGTGTTGGTGTCCGGCGAAACAAGCGAATCCGTGTATTCCTGTACAGCGTAAACAGGTTACGCGAGGTTTATATTTGTGTTTATTTATATTGAACTAAAGGCCTACTCTGGGGCGGTAAATCGCCTTAAATCGCCAAAAATCGCCAAAAATCGCGAGTTAAAATTGTCAAATTTCTCTTAAATCG